AGAGAAGAGTCCCCCCGACTGCAAAAGAGTCTTACAGTCCTTGAGACAGGCAGTACCCGAATTAGATACAATCTAAGAGTCCCCAAACGTCTTAGCTATCTTCTTCGAACAAGGTTCCCAGATATTGCCATCTTGTACATAAAATTCCACACCGTTATTTCCCGATCTCAAAACATCCTCAAGGAAAGCGAAAAAGCCAACGCACCAACCAGCAGACGTGGCACGACCAAAACGTACAGGTTTCCACAAGAAATTAACAGGCATATGCCTCTCCTTACCCCTCGCACGTTCCCTCCTTCCCAATTTCCTTGGCTTCGATTTGTTACTCTGCTTCTTACAGCCCGAAGTATTGAGGAAAGGAGACCACAATTTGATATAAGTCTTCTCAAGGACAGTCAGGTCACCCCCTACCAATATATCAACAGGGAGGAGTAAGTAATTACCAATCCCAAAAGAAGTCAGTCAACGGTGGAAATGCGAGCGTGTGCGATTTCTGGAATAGTAAATATGCTCTCTCCAGCGAACGTCAACACCCCGAGTTGACTTGCCAACATAAAACAGTTTACAAAGTGGGGAAATCCCCACATATACACACGAGGTAAGTTCCAAGAAATCCAAGCCATGACGTTCGTACAACTCAAGCCACTTGGGGATACACTTCCCAGCCCAACGTATCTGCCCGTGCAAAACTAACAACAAAAACACTAATCGGAGGACTCGTTCAATAGGCTTATTCACAACCAAAGACTCACATCGCTCGTGGGTCAGAAGACCGCAGAGCTTCCAAAGCTGCTGTACAGTTAAAACTCGTCACACATCGGTAGCAGGTTCCACATCTTCATTGCCGCCGGTATCCGTTGATGTTGCGATATGAATGATCTCTGCATTGCGGATGGGATCGTTGACAGAAGCAAGCTCCGTACGGTGGTCAGCAATATCAAAAATAGCGTCGATCTTCTTGTCATAATGCAAGCCTTCGTTCCGGCAGATTGCCTGCAAATCTGTAGCATCCAGATCCTTCAGTTCCCTCAAGATATTGTTACGAAAACGCAACCGAGCAAGCGCCCCTTTGGCTGATGGTGTCAACACCGCTGCACGCGCAGGAGACTTCGTAGGGGTACGGCGCTTCGCTTCTTAGCTGAAACTGGCATAAGACCTCCTCCTTCCTTCTTGGATTTCGACCGAGTCAAATGGCCAGTAAGCTTTACTGGCTTCAGAATCCCTCTCTTTGGGGTTCGCTTAGCAGGTTGCTCCATTGGTGGACTAGGATCTTCAAACTCGGGCTCGGGGCCCCTCTTACGCTTCTCGGCCAAACGTTGAGTTCGCGCACTGAGCTCCTGAGTAACGCTAGTGTCGCTACCATCTCCAGAGCTTGCTGACGAGCCGCCAACTTCCGACCCGTAAGTGACCTTCTTCTTCCCACGCTCCCTGCTGAGTGGGATAACTGGTGCGACGACCTGGTACATCCTGTCAACGATCCGGTTCTCCAACCTACCCACTTGAATGGCAAGCTGGATGTTCAAATCCTTTTGCATGGCTGCACGCGCTTCAGCCTCCAAAGCCTTCTTCTGCTTCGCGTTCAAAGCCTTCTTATCCGCACGAGCACATTCTTCTTCCCTCGCAAACCCGTTCCTCCTCAGCGCGTCGCTCCTCTTCTTCTTTCTCCGATTTCTTCTTCCTCTTGTTCTCTTTCTTCAGGTGTTCGGCAGCGTAGTATTCCTCCATCGCAGACACGCTATTTCCAAGCTTGGCAATAGTACTCCTCAACTCTGGGTCCAACTGATGAGGTTGCTCCCTTCTTCCATTGTAGCCCCGTGGAGATGGAGATCGCCTAGTGTCCGTAGAAGTTGAAGGTCGGGTGATTGAATAACGCCGGCTTCGGTTCGGGCACTGATTAGCGTAGTGACCCGTTTCATTACAGGCGAAACAAGTGGGGGGCCTATAAGGCCTATGCTCCCCACCTTCATCCCTCACTTCGCGGGACCGGTCGCCCCTCCCAGTCACGATCACTTCGTTCCTGCTGATCACGTGAAGACATCACGGCGCTCGGTGCAACGGCACAAATCCGCAAAAACGCGCATGTACACGCCCTCAAGATAAACGGAAAACAAATTGGCAGACAACTCCGATACGTGCTCACTCAGCCCAGCAAGGTAACTCCAGGTAAGTTCACACGCGCAGTCTAACGGATATGGATCAAAGGATGCACAAAGTACACACATAGGATTCACTGAGTACACACGTCACAAAGTAGCATAGGCCACCAAGTGGCAAGATCATAGAGAAGTTACAACCAAGGGTTCCACACAAGCATTCCGGCAATCCCAAGAAACCACCGTCTCCCACAAGTCCATGTCCGCAAGCTCATATCATCACTGCTGGTAGTAATGATACCACAAGTCCACGTCCGCAAGCTCATATCATCACTACCGGTAGCAAATGATAATCGCCGCGCCGCAGACCCAAGAGGTGGAACACATACCACGATGATCTACTTATAGTTCCACCCAACGATAACACTAGCAACGAAAAACACTACACAGGCCTACCGCTGACCAAAAGAGCCACACCGCCAAAATCGGGTAGCAGAGAGTAGTCCGGAACAGGCCCCGGTTCGAGGACCATACTGTACAGCATCTTGTCCAAAAGACTTCTGCGACATCAAGGCACTGGCTCGAGGACAAATCTGGGTCTTGGCCCCAGGGTCACTGCGGGTCGAATTGTCGGGACCCCCGGCCCGATCTCGTTGATTTGAATTTTGAACTGAAAGTGCAACTTTTCGGAAAAAAAAAAAAAAAAAAAAAAAAAAAAGTGGCCTAATCCAATCATCTTTGCTAGTATGACCTCGCCCCTCAAAAAGACTCCGCTGGGTATTGGCCCCAGTTTTTCCTCCGGGTTGATCGTGGGGTTTTCCCGGCCCTGCATTCTACTGGAAATATATGATTACAATTCGTCCAAAAAAAAAAAAAAAAAAAAAAAAAGACCTCGCCCCTGGACTCCCTGGACAATGAGAAAACGGATGATGGGGTTGATGACCCACTCCGGAATTACCTAGTACCGTTTTCCGCCCGAAGTTCCCGAACACAACGCGTTTTTTTTTTGTTTTGTTTTTTTCGAAGATACTGGTATGAGTTCGGAGTCTTAGAGCGTTTTTCACCAAGGGCCCGAGCTCAGTTGGGCTGAGTTGGCACATCTTCGAACTGTTGAAATATGAATCAGACCGAAGGTCGAGTCCAGATACAATCAGATGACCAGAATCATAGAATCCATTCTGAATTACCAACCTGGGGCTGGTCAGTTCGATGATGATATTATTTTAAGGCCGTTGACCTTTCGAAAAAGAGGGAAGGAAGGGGGAGGAAGGGGGAGGAAGGGGGAGGAAGAAGTACAATAGAAAAAAAGAAGATTGTTTATCGGGAAAAAAAACGGCTGTACTCGGGGTTGAAACACCCTCAATCTATTCTAATGTAAAAGCATTAAATAGCCAAAGATAATAACGGGGCTGCAAACCTCGAGCCTCAGGATGAATGAAAGCTACAAGTCGGAAAAAATAAAGAGAACAGGAAAAAACAAACAAACAAACAAACAAACAAACAAACAAAAGAAAACGAAAGAAAACGACAAGAAAACGAAAAGAAAACAAAAGAAAACAAAAGAAAAAGGTTACCTAGAGCTTCGGTATAGATTCGACTGAAAAAAAGAAAGAAAAAAGATACTTCGGGAAAAAAAAAAAAAAAAAAAAAGAGCCGACCACCTTCTGCTTCTCAGCGAAGAAAATGGGGCAGATGTACTGTGTCGTAGCCACAAATAACAAAACGAGCAAGTTGTTTGTCGTCCTCGACAGTGATTTCTAACTGTGCAGTGTGCTGTGGATAATCATCATGGGGAGAATACCCGCCCGCTGCCTAATTTGACGATGGCAAATCTTCGGTCATGACCTTGTTTTATTACAGAGTCCAACCAGATAAAACAACCCGAGGAGCACTCAACTACCTCCAACGGTAGAGTTATGGTTGGAATGTGAAGGAAGAGGGATGAAGAGAGGATGTCTCTATTTGTATGTGCGTGTGGCACACACACACACACACACACACACACACACACGCACACACACACACACACACAGAGAGAGAGAGAGAGAGAGAGAGAGAGAGAGAGAGAGAGAG